TTCAATATCGGTATTTCGATGGACTTAGATACACGGACATACGGTTAACAGACAGCCAGAGATCGATAGAGAGAGAGTGAGTGAGGTAAACGGAAGGAGGGGAATACACCGGTGTGTGCTACGAACTGTCAAACAGTTGTTCGAGAATGCTGGTGGCTATTGGAGTTGTTGTTGTTGTCGCTGCTGTTTGAGTCGATAAATTCGTTGTCGGTGTTGGGGTTGTATTGGTTGTATCTGAAGCAGGGGACATAACCACATCCGTTTCTCCCGAATCGGTCGGGCTTGCTGGGACCAGCTGTGCCGCATAAACACCAAAATCTTCTCTGGTGCCGGTGGTTTGCTCGCTCACTCCTTCAACTGCTTTGGCACCCTGATTGGCCGCTTCCAACTCGTGCAATGAAGTGACGAATTTCCCATGCAGCTCGACCAGAAATACGGTGTTCAAACTGGCCGAGGTGTGCAAATGTGAGCAGAACAGATGAGCCATGCGATAGGGACAGAGCACACTGAGCGCTTTCAGGCCGCATGCAAGGCAGGCCAAATCGAACGATTGCTTCATCTCATCGGACTCGTTCATTACCCCAGCTAGTGGACCGGTGGACAGCCCGGATGGGGATATGGAGGATTTGAGCAAATGATTTCGTGAACCTTCAGTACATCCACCCGGTACTCTTTGACCGTTGAAATGAGCCGTTGGATTTACTTGCCTAGAGGCTCGGATCACGTTGAGCCCGAGAGTGGACAGCGAGAGGGGTTCATGCGCTGCGCATTGGGGGAGTGGAATGGAAGAAAACGAATGTGGGTTGCAGCTTTTTGATCGAACGATCAATCAGGTGGAAATCAAAAATCAAAAAGGTCCAAGTTCATCAAAAATATGTACAGGGCACCAATGACGAATTTGACACACACTAGTCACTACCATTCTAACGCGTACGGTACATGGTTACTAGTGGAGCTTGGAAATGAAGCTCGATAAGCCCTGGGGGTCTATGCCTATCATGTTACCCAGAGTATTCATTTCATAGTCGCATCGATAGAACGCAACACGATGGACTGTCACAGTAACCAGTAAAATCAGTCCACTTTCAATGGACATATACATGTATGAGAGTTCTTATCGCACCGAATTTCCGAATCTCTCCGGGATAGAAAACTGCCTGGTACGATCAACTCGACCAACACCGCCTTCAAGTTCAGAACGGCACAACTCTGACACAAGTGTACTAAGTCACAGCGATCGATAAAGATGATATCTTGACGAACTGGTGAACCAGCGTTTGTACACACTAATATCATTGTTGTGTATCTGCAATAGGGGAGCATGAAAACATTTCATAAAAAATGAACCATAAACTTAGACACCAGCATTTATTATGGGAATTACTTCCGGCTCTGGAGATAACACCAGTGTGTGATGAACAGCAGACGGTTTCGAACTCCATATAGTCACGAAGACCTGCTGTGCAATGGTGGGAACCGTGATTTGTAATGGGGCGAACCACGTGAGATCCCACTAGGTTGGGTGTGATATTGAACTGCACGACAACAAAGCTGCCTACCACCAAAGTTGGGTGGCGGGGCTCAGGCCACCAAGTCCGAAGCACGCCGGTTACAGCAGCAACTAAACCATTGCATCACCGTTTTCAACTGCTCCACCATCCAGAACATCCGAGCCTAATTAGTACCACGTGGTTCACTTCGGCAACAAGTTTTTTCCCAAATGAACTACCCTTGTAAACAACAAGCAAGAGTAAGGATTTGTTTTCGAGTTTATTTTCCCTCCCCACCTTCCAGGCGATTATCTCACGAGCACACGTGAGAACCAGGCTGGCATCAGACCTGGTCGAGGATGTATCTTCACTCTNNCGACCATATCCATCTTCTTCGATCTGAAGGCGGCTTTCAACCGCTCTAAACTCTGGCGCTGCCTTTCCCTGAAGGGTGTGCCCGAGAAGTTTAATTTTATATTGTAATCCCTCTACAATGATAGCCGAAGCCCAGTCCGAGCTCACGGAACTTTTTCACCCGAGTTCACCATGGAAAGTGATGTTCGACAGGGTTGCCCTCTCTCTCCGTTTCTATTTAACTTCGTGATAGGTTTAATTCTTGAAACGGCCCTATCCTCGTGCAGGGATAGCGGTATCGAATTACTCCCAGATGGCAGACTGTCTAATCTAGAGTATGCAGACAACATTTTGCTACTAAGTGAAGATCCAGGTAAGTTGCAAGCTTTTCTGGATAGTTTAAATGCTAGTGTAGCCATGATCAGTATGCGTTATGCACCTCCAAAGTGTAAAATGTTGCTGGGTGGTGGTGGCGCAGTGGTTTAGTCGCCGTCACCGGCGTGCTTTGGACGCTATGGTCCGGGGTTCGAGCCCCGTCACCGCCACTCGACTTTGTTGGTAAGCAGCTATGCTGTCGTCCGGTTCAATACCACGCCTAACCTATCGGGGCCTTATGTGGTTCGCGACTGCAAGTTCCGGAGCTTAGGTTGCTGATTCCAACCACTAAACAGCAGGTCCTCGTGACTATAGGGTTTACCCCGTCTGCTGTGTGTCTGCTAGGTGTGTATTAAAAAAATGTTGCTACAAAATTGGGTTGGTCCAGCACCCAACCTCACACGAACTGGAGAAGTATTAAAGCAGGTGGGTAAGTTATGTTACTTGAGCAGTTACATCTCACCTGGCGGACACATCACAGATGAAGCGTCGAAACGTACACAGAAGGCTCGATGGGTATTTGCCAAATTGAGACATTTGTGGTGCCATTGCGACATCCGGCTGTCTGTGAAGGATCGAGTATATAGCGCAGCAGTTCGGCCATGCTGCTATTTAGTGCAGAGACTTGGCCACTAAAGGAACAGGATAAAAATAGATCGTCGGTGTTCNGAGTCTGGTGGGGTAATCGGACGAGCAAATGCTGAGGTTAAGAGTGAAGTTTTGGGCAGTCGCGGTCGTCCACTGGAGCAAGTGATCAACCTACATAGATTACATTGGCTGGGCATGTGCTACGCATGTCACCAGATAGGTTGCCACGGGAAGAGATGTTTGCCGAGGCAGGTAGCGTTTAGAAAGAGTCAATGGTGGTCAAACGAAGACCTGGCATCAGGGTATGAAAACCAGGGGACTAGGTCACATAGGCCCTGTTAGACTCCCTGACTGGGGACCTCGAGATGATGGTCACCGACGGTTAGATACACTGAGCGATATGATTGGATGTCGCAAACAATGGCGCTCGTGCATCAACTCATTATCCCT